TAGAAACATGTGATTGTTCTACTGCTGCATTAAAAATTAAGCATATACCTCAAAAGCTATTAATTCTCAAATAACTCTTGTTTTTTTATTAAAAAGTACACAAATTTCTCTAATTTACAGGTATGAAGGAACTTTACTACTTTTGATATACGGATTATATGTTCTGGTGCTGTGTTTTGACATTAAAATTAACCAATATATTATAAAGAAATGCAGTCCTTGCTGTACCCGTCTTGCCAAAGCTATGGAGGAGAGAAGTGAACAACAACCACTGATGGGATGGGAAGATGAGGGTCGACCATTCATCCGTCGGCAATCAAGAAACGACAGCGGAATATTTCATGAGGATTCTGGTTACTCCCAGCTTTCTATAAGTTTACATGGTCTTAACCAGGTTTCTGAAGGTAATAACCACATCCTGCCCACTATTAATAGTCTGTTCACTAGTCTATTCAGTAGTGAGAATCTCGTTTCAATTCAGCAAGTACTATAGACTTCTTATATAAAAGACACTGGAGATTCAGAGGCAGTCCATATCCCTACAAAGCTTCTAATACTGCAGGAAAAAAACAAAATAACTAAAATATGAAGGTTTACACACTTAGAGAAAGAAATAAAGTGTAACTGTTCTTCCTAAATGGGATAATTATTTAAAATTGGATGAGAATGGTTAAATACAAAGTACTGAATCTAGTAGAATAGGTAAGATTTTAACTGATCTGATTTATAACCAAGAAGTAACAGCTACTGAAGTCTTCATTAGGTAAACGATACAGAGGTAAGAACAAAGTATATTTTATGGATTGAAGCCAAGAAAATACATGAGCAAGATGCTTGTTCAAGTACTAGCACAACTAAGTACAAAATGTGCACGGTAAAAAAGCAGAGGAAAGGTGGAGAGAAAGGAATAGAATAGGAAGAGACTTAAATGTTTGTGTGTGAGTCTTTGCAGGTTTGTGAGCAGGGAAATCACTAGAACTGAAACATGGGATAAAAGACAGGGAGGTCTATAAGAGGCTACTAAACAGCCGATGTGTTTAATAGATGCACAGACAGAGCAAAGGCAGTGGGAATGGAAGAGAACAGATATGAGACAATGCAGAGAACACATCACGAAGCCTGGGCAATTAAAGGGCTATATGGGGCCAGAAAAGGAAGCAGAGACAATTCTGAAGGTTTGATCACAACTGACTAAGAAAATGGAACACTGCTTACAAAAACTAGGAATTTAGGAAAAAGGGCTGGTGAGAAGACAAAGGAAACAGTTGAGTTTTAAACATGTCATTTGAAGCAGAAACAAAACAGTTAGGTAAATATGTTTAGTAGAAAGTCAAATTCGTCTATGGCCAAATAGAAATTTATGGTAACTTTTTAAAATAAAACAGTTGTATAAAACAGATTCTAAATTTAACTGAGTACATTAAGGAAGGGAACTTACTCTAATTTACAACTTAAAAAAATTAAAACAGGACTTTTCCCTTTCTTACAAAATTTATAGTCCTTCAGATACAAGAGTTATACATTTCTAAGTTAAATTGCATAACAAGAAACTCAAAAGAATCAGTCCAAAATTTATTATTTATACTAAAATTATACCTATTATTACTTAATGGCCCATTGGCTGAGGCTTGGCAAAATTTTTTTGTTATTTTACTAGCATTAGTAGTAATGTGATTTGATCAAATATGTGGGTACATATTTTGTAAATGCCATACAAATGTTAAACAATTTTAAAATAAATTCCCATTTTATCTAATATATTATTATTGTCTTTCACAACTTCATAAAACAAATTGAATAAAGGAACAAACTAAAGTTTTATAAATTACATGTAGATCCTATCCTAGTTCCTATTTTCTTAAGGTTCTTTCTAAGATTTGTAGTGAATTCTGAATTTATTATTGAAAAAATAATGAAATAAGTCCCTCAAAACCACTTACAATGAGAATTAGAATGGACTATCCAACTTAATTTAAAAAATTATGCCCTAATTATCATATAATCCCTAAGTACACATTATCTGATACATAGTACAGGCTGTGGCATCATCAATATTGGGAAGTGGAGACGACTAGAATGGATAAGGTAAAAGCCATGTTAATTCCATAAGCAAAAAAAAAAAAAAAATTACCAAAAGCCATCCACATTGCAGAAAACCAAGAGATGTCCGACTGACACTTCATAAACATTATCTCTAACATATTTAGTGAATGACCCAAGACATTTTGATGGACTTGTAAGGCCCCAAAATCAAGACATGCTGAGTATCACATTTTACACTGTTTGCCCTAAAGTCTCAATTAGTTTCTTTTTGCCAGCAGTATCAGTAATGAGGTATTCAAATGTTTTAAATAGCCTCTTAAAAACTGATACAGCTAATTTATTTCAATATAGCTTTCTAAATGGACATTTCTAACTTAATTGGCCATTTAAGAAAACTAAGAATCATTTAATTTTTTTCTCAACAGATCCACCAAGTGTTTTCAACATGCCTGAAGCAGATTTAAAAAGAATTTTTTGGGTACTATCTCTTCCTATTATTACACTACTTTTTATAACCACACCGGATTGTAGAAGAAAGTTTTGGAAAAATTATTTTGTGATAACCTTTTTCATGTCGGCACTATGGATATCTGCATTTACATATATCCTGGTTTGGATGGTCACAATAACTGGTATGTATCTTAAGTACCAGAGCACAATTTAAAAAGAAAATAGTCAGTTTTATGTAAGAACTCCTTACATCCACTACAGGTAGTCTAGCTAAGGAGCAAATTTCTTTTTCAGCAAAGAGTAAATAATAATGCTATTTACCAAAAATTAAATATTAATGTGGCAATCATCCAGGTTTTGTGCGTTGTGTATTATGTATCAATTGTATTCTCACAGTTATACAGCCCAGGGGTACAAGTCAAGGGATCATAAATGAAATAAATTCAGAGGATGTCTATTAGGCTAATAATTAAATCACATTGCAGGGGGTCCATAGTACACTCTTTAAATTAAGTTCAATTACGTAATAAAAAATTTAGCAAGATGCCAATGTTTGGGGAAAACAATGGGTGCTCACTATTTAACTGGAATACATTTTATTTTGCTTTTTAATATGGCAATACAAATGTACTATGAAATGAGTAAAAAGGATATAAAATAAAGTTTCACTGTAGGTTTCTACTACCTTCATGATTAAGATTTAACTATTACTGCTTGGTCATAATCAGCTCTGGTCCCACAGAATTCCTAGTCCAGAAGAAAAAACTGAATATAAACACAGAACAAAAAATTCAGGAATTCTGCCCCAAAGGTAAACCTGAATGAACTAGTATCAGAGGTAAGCAAACTACCTCCAGGGTGCCCAAATCTCTGGGTCTCAGTTTTTGCTAATCAGGCCCATTCATTTACATATTATCTATGCATGTTTTCACACTACATTGGCAGAGCCAAATAATTGCAACAGGGACTATAGCCTGCAAAGCCTAAAATAATTATTATCTGGCCATTTACAAAAGAAGTTTTCTGATCTCTGACTTTTTCCAAATTAATATGTGAGTTAGAATAGTATGCTAGCAAAAAGCAGAATTTTTTTTCTTTTTTTAATGAGGAAGATAAAGTCCAATTAGCTTGCATAGTATATCTCTCCAAACTTTCTCAGCCAGAACATATTTGATATTAGGAAAACAGGAAAAGAGCAAAATCAAGTAACAGATCATAGAACACCCCAACCCCCAAGATAATAAGTATTAGTGTTATTCACGTACATACGAACTCTGGCCAACCAGTAACAAAAATTAACAATCAATTACAATCCTAATATCAATATATATAAGCATGCAATAAATAGCTACTTAAAAGTTTTTTTAAATTGATACTTAAAAGGAAGAAAGAATGATTCTAAAGCAAGTTTTCAGTTATAACATTAAAAGAGCAGTTACATGTACTTTTTTTAAAACTTCCTGCTCGTTCTGTTTCCTAGAATGAATGCATTTCTGAAAAATGTTGAACTGACATCAAATTTAACAGAAGCATTAATAAATTGGGTCTGCAGTGTTAGAAAGACTCAAGAAAAACCCTATTTTGTTTTCCTCAGATTTATGGTACTTTCTCAAAGAAAACATAAATTAAGGTATATCACTAAAGTAGGACGTAAAAATGCATACCATGTTAACACATTTACAATTTAAAAATAGCTATAAATAATTTGCTTCACATGACCACTTTAAGGAAATGTTTTTAAAAAGAAGAAAAAAAAAATGACCAATCTTATTACCATACATTAAGCAACAGCCTGGATGATATAAACAGCGATGACATCCAAAACTTCTGTGAGCATACCAGGGAGAGGAATTACTCCTTGGTAGAATTTTGCCTTTTACATATCTGTCTAAAAATCTGTCCCAGCTGCCCTGGCCAAGTGGCTCTGTGGGTTGGAGCATCACCCCGTACAGCAGAAGGCTGCAGATTTGATTCCCGGTCAGGGCACATACCTAAGGCTGGTGTCTCTCTCTTTCTCTCCTCCCCGCCACCTTCCCCTCTCTAAAATCAATAAAGACATATCCTGGGGTGAGGATTAAAAAAGATTCTGTGCAACCCATGCTACCCAATTCACCAATCTTGTTCAAATATTTTGCTAGCTAAAATCTAAATACATACTTATGGGCTCTGTAATCTAAATGTACCTATTTTCTTTTTGTTCAGGGAGGAAATATCTGAAATATCTGTAGAGAATGGTTAGTGAATCTTTAAGATTTGTGACTTACAATATCTATGTTTATTACAGGGGAAACATTAGAAATTCCAGACACAATAATGGGCCTTACTTTATTAGCAGCAGGAACAAGCATACCAGACACGATTGCAAGTGTGTTGGTTGCAAGAAAAGGTAAGAATTAGATCCTTCAAGCTGCAATGCCAACTCTTCAAACCTGGCTGAACTACAGTAAGCAAAGGTGCCTTTAAAAATATTTATTTCCTCAGTAACATACTTTGAAGAAAAAAAGGAGTAACTCAGAGAAAGGATTTACTATTTAATAACAAACAGATTAATTTCACTAAGTCTAATTCCCCAATAAAGTTCATCTGAAATGTGCATTAAATTGTAATTAAACATGTTAAATTAGAATGAAAAGCAACAAGTAATCTACATACCTTATTGAAAAATGCTTTAATAAAGATAATTATTAGATAAATAAATGTTAATACTTTAAATACTAACCTCCCCAAATTAAAAAATACAAATTCAGTTAAGACTTTTGCTCTAATACAATTTTCCAAAACCAACAAACAAAAAAAGTATCCAGTGTCTTTTCTTATGAAGCTTATTAATAAAATACAGTAATGGTATGCACATTTTAACAACATGCTTTTTTTGCAGGCAAAGGAGATATGGCTATGTCTAACATCGTGGGATCCAATGTGTTTGATATGCTGTGCCTAGGTGTTCCATGGTTGATTAAAACTGTATTTATAAATACATCAGCTCCTGTAGAAGTGAACAGCAGAGGACTAACTTACATAACCATCTCTCTTAACATTTCAATTATTTTCCTTTTTTCAGCTGTTCACTTCAATGGCTGGAAACTAGACAGAAAGCTGGGAGTAGTCTGTCTATTATTATACTTGGGACTTGCTACATTATCAGTTCTGTATGAACTTGGAATTATTGGAAGTAACAAAATAAGTGGCTGTGGGGGTTAATATTAATAGTGATAGGGTGGAGAATGTGAATGATAGAAAGGGGCAGAGAAGGAATACTCCAATTCTTCATTTAAGTAAAATAAAAAATATCCTGAACCTTACACTCTTAAAACTTACAGTAATTCTTTATCATCAAAGAAAAGTAATTTAAAATCAACCAAAATCATATCCTAATTTGTCTGAGTCTTTTCTTACCAAAAACAATTACATATAGATAACAGAAGTTTTGAAAAACCATCTATGGTTTACCTTACAATAAATAAGTTGATAAAAGCTGGAGAAACGTGAACAAACAAATCCCACTATGTAGTGCTGAAAATAACATGAAAATGGCTTATTTCATTAAAAAACAGTATAACCATTCATTTAAACTGAATGACCAGACTTGCTGTCTTTAAAAACCCAAACTTGAGATTAACAAAAATCACAGTATATGTAACATTATACTGTTAAAAGCTGGTGGGAGTTTTAAAAGTTCATTTTTACAGCTTTTGTAAGCATACAGTATTACTTAAAAAATGACTTTTACTAGGAGATTCAGCAAAACAGATGTAAGAATGTTCCAACCGTGGTTTGAAATTATGCATTACGATCCAAGCGAACATCAATTTCTCTGCCACTGATTTTTATGCCATTCATTATTCTGCAGGCTTTTTCAGCTGATTCTGGGGAGTCAAATCTGACTGTTCCACAGCCTTTTGACTTTCCATTCTCCATTTTTATTTCTGCAAACATTACATGACCTGTAAAAGAAAAATCATAGAATTACTAGCCAGTTTAAACAGGTTCTATATTTCACTACACAGGTTTGAAATTTCTCATTGCCAATGAAGTGATGTGACTTGACTAGAAACATTAACGATTTAAAAATAACATATACAAGTACTATTCACATCATTTTATATTCTGAATATAATGTAATTCATATAAAGTTATAAATATACACAGGTTAGAATATACAAAATTGGACTTGATAAATTTTCTAAGGATTTAATATTTTATTAGAAAAATTTTATTTTAATGCTAATTCCTTAGTTGCTGAAGTAAATTTTATAGCAATAAGGTAAGCTAGCACAAAATGCCACCAAGTCACCATACCCAATGACAAACTACAAATTTAAACAAATTTTTTGAAAAAATTATTGCTTTCTGCTCAGTCTCCTTTCCCCTCCCTTGTATCCTCCATTTCGACGCCTCGATCCTTAAAAACAGGAGTAACTGCCCTGAAATTTAAGTTTTGCTAGGTCACAAAGGGCGCACTAATTTTGTTTTCAACCACAGTGCCAAAGTCATTTATTCAGTATCACGATTTGAACTCCAAGCATAAGACTGGCACCAAATGTTATGGAAATAAGCATGGAAGAGAGGGTGCAGATTTAAATCAATAAAGGTAAAAAGTTATGGTAAGAGCATAGAGAAGAGTTTCCAGGAAGAGGAGGAAAACTAGACAATTATTCCATATACAGTTAATATCACTGCTAACTCTAGAGACTGGTATTTGAACTAAATCAATTATCATTTATCAAACCACAAAGTGGCCATAAAAATGTATCTCCCAAACCAGAACATCTGAAAGAGTATATAACATATGTAAAGTGAGATTATTCCCAGGCAAACTGGGATGTATGATCACCGATTCACAAAGACTTAAGAGTAAGGTGTGTGACTATATACCATATTTCCTTCCCCTTGAATACTGTAGTTGCCAGAACACTATGGGCTAATTTTAGCCTGGCAAAAATCAGAGAGCCAAACATATTTAGCTCATATTTAGTTCTATAAAGGCAGAAGAAGGAGGAAGGTAAAAGCAAAGGGCTTAGCAAAAAATTCCATAAGCTCTTTTTAGGCAATGAGGACAATTTTTCATTTCAATGAGTAAGATTTTTTTGTCTTTTTAAATATTGATCTGATTGATTTCTTATCTACAACATCCTGGACTACTTTCCTACTGTTTTTTCATCCACTCTTCCCTCACTCCCCATAACTGCTTTTTTAAAAAACTGATAGTCCATCGCTTAATCACTCAAAACTAATTAAATGGTGCAAGTCAATAAATGTCATGTTGAGCCAAAACCATGATTTTGTAACCCAGACCAGGAAGTCTTTAACTGTGTTCTAAAAAGTTACAAAACAGAATAATCCTCAAAAAAGCTATATTATAATGGTTAAAGCAGACCCAAACAATATTTACCCTACAACTGGTTAAACACACACACACACACACACACACACACACACACACATGAAATCACATTTTCTAATAAACATCATAAAATGAAACTGGAAAACTTATTTTAAAAACAAACTTTAAAATAGATACAGAGGAATTTCCAGAACCATCTTAATATCTTGAATGCTGAGACCTGAAAAAAAGCAAGTTTAATTAAAGGAGTATACCTTGGTAAGTGGCAACACTTTACATTGATTTTAAAGGGGACTGTGGATAATTTTCAAGGGTTTTTAAGGTTAAAGGTTTGCCCTCATTCTAATTTTACCTAAAAATTTAGGGTTTTTCTTAACATTAAGTATCCCACCATAGGTTTATTAGCAATAGCAAGGTTCATTCAAGCAAGAAATTTTTAAAACTTCAAAGGAAAATATGTAATTATCTCTTGCAAAATCTGTCTCAACCTTTCAGGACTAGTTTCTCTTTTACTCCTCCTCTTAAATTCTGTCTCTTGGTTTAGGGATCATCACTCAGACCCCCAAACTACTGACCTCACATGGTCTCTTAGCAAAGATACTCCAAACTTCTTCCAGTTTGGACGTTCAGGCTACAGAGAGAGTGGCCTAGACATACTTGTGCTGTTAGATTGTTGCATAAATCCCAGTAGGCACAGAAACATAAAGAGTTATATGTTTGCTAAGTTTCTTCTTAATCCCATAAAAACATCAATTGAGATATTTTCTTAAGTATTTAAGGAGAAAAAATTTAGTTTCGAATAACTAAATAAAATCAGACCTCTCTGGTTTTTTATTCTCTGAGGACTTTTCTTAAATGACTTAAATATCTACAAACATCTTGTATGAGTCCAAGAAAAACAAAAACAGAACTATTTTAGCAACAACATAGAACAAAATAGTATGCAATGAGAAATCGGTACCACAGAATAATCAAACATATTGCTGTTACATTTACTAGTTATAAAAATGACTTATCCTGAAGTAAAAGAAAACTTTCTACTTTATTTACCTAGCCTATTAACTTGTAGTGTTTACTTTGGGAAATGCTTATATAAAAGCATATCTCAAAGTAGACCAAATGAAAACATAAATAAATATTTGATTCAATGAAATCTACTTTCAAAGCCAAGCCATAACATAACCACAGGAGAGAAAAAAACAGCAAAATCAGATACTCTACAAGAAATAATTATGACATAAGGGACCAAAAAAACAAAGTTTTAGTGTTTCTTACAAGTAAAAAGTGACTATCAATAAGTGTTCTTCATATACTATGCTTACTGTCACTGTATTATTTTTACTGTTAAGTTCTTCCAGAGTCAAAGCCCACTATTCATGCTTGAAGCAGCATATGCTTTTAGTAAATAAAATCTATCAAGTCCACATTTTCTGTGAAATTAACAAGCATACTCAGGTAGAAAACTACATAATAGAAATCTGTGGAAAAAAGCTGTATTTGTTTACAACATACAGCAGTAATAGTTAAGAACAGGCACTGCAGTTCTAAAGTGTTATGGCCCTGAATCACACTAAGCCAGGAGACCAGAGAACAGTTAAAGTGGATAGACAGAAATGGAGCAAATTTAAAGACTATACCCTTTTGACTTCATTGGTACAACCTGAACTAATGTAGGGTCCAACTCTGAATGGGTCAGTTTATTTACTCAGCCTTCTTAAAAATGCATGTCACTGAGGAATTACATAAGGCAGTATTTTACTATACTTATTACTCATCTTTTTATACTTGGGGATATGTGAACACCGTTTTTTCTGAATTATAAAGGCTAAGGAAATGTTGGTTGTATTGAGGGTAACATAATCCATGATACAATAATTCTTAGCCTTTGTAATTGTTCCATCAAGGACAATTAACCACTATAGAAATTTACTAAGCAGAGGGCTTGCTGGTGTGCCATTTACTGGCAGATAATGTCTGGGGGAGATGCATGGAGTACCACTAGACTCTTACTAGGAAGCAACCAAGAGAATATACTCATGCACCTTGGGCTCAGGAGAAAAAAAAATAACAAAAACTGCCTTTTACTGCAAGAGTCCATTGCTGGCTTGAAGCAGGTTAAAAAGAAACTTCCATACTAAGAAAGAAAAATTCTTAAGATTTGAAAACAAAAGTGATGTGGCAGACAAATGGATGGTTCAGTTCATACAAACCAGGCAATTTCCACAGTTGACAACAGCTGGACACTTAATTCTGTATTACTATATAACTTTTTTTCTTTCCCATCAATACAGTTCAAGATTAAAAACAGAATGATGATAGGAAATTATTTAAGTATGGTATTGCCTTAATATAAATCTAAACATCAGAAGCTTTTACAATTAGAATTGGGAAGAAAAACAAAAATCATTACTTTCATGATATAACTATAGACTGATCAAAAAGGGACATAAGAATAGAGATAAAATTACAAAGTAAAGTATAATAATTTAACTGCTTTTTTATTGGCTAAAATGCTGTACAACTTTTTTAAATGTAGATATGGATATCAATTTTCCTTTCAGAAAATGTCACTGAATTGTTGATGTCCTTTGGTCAAAACAATACCACTCCAGCTAGAAGACCACCAAAAACCCTTCAAATTTGCTGCAAGCCTTGCTCACACTTGACATAAAGGAAATCTGCCTACAAAAGATAAAGAACAGTCAACTCAACATTGGTCACGTTTTTAAAAAATTTATGTTTAAAGTATTACAGATTTCCCCTTTTCCTCCCCATTGACCCCCTTCTACCTGGCTCCAACCCCACCCCAGGCATTCACCACACTATTGTCTGTGTCCATGGGTTATGCATATAAGTTCTCTGGTTAATCTCTTCCTGCTCCCCCACCCCTTTTGCTCTGAGATTTGTCAGTTTGTTCCATCCTTCCATGTCCCTGGATCTACTTTGTTAGTTTATTTTGTTCATTAGATTCCACATATAAGTGAGATCACATGATACTTGTCTTCCACTGACTGGCTTATTTCGCTTAGCACAATACTCTCCAGTTCCATCCATGCTGTCCCAAAGGGTAAGAGGTCCTCCCTTTTCACAGCTGCATAGTGTTCCATTTGGTAAATGAACCACAGCTTTTTTATCCACTCATCTACTGATAGGCACTTGGGATGTTTCCAGATCTTAGCTATTATAAACAGTGCTGCTATGAACATCGGGGTGCATATATCCTTTCTCATTGGTGTTTTGGGATTCTTAGGATATATTCTTAGAAGTGAGATCACTGGGTCAAATGGCAGTTCCATTTTTATTTTTTGAGGAAACCCATACTGTTTTCCATAGTGGCTGCACCAGTCTACATTCCCACCAGCAGTTTACAAGGGTTCCATTTTCTCCACAGCCTCACCAGCACTTGTCATTTGATGTGTTGATGGTACCCATTCAGGCAGGTGTGAGGTGATACCTCATTTTCGTTTTAATTTGCGTATCTCTGATGATTAGTGACTTTGAGCATTTTTTCATATGTCTCTTGGCCATCTGTCTCTCTTCTTTGGGGGACTCTCTATTTAGGTCATTTGCCCATTTTTTAATTGGATTATTTGTCTTCCTTTTGTTAAGTTGTATCAGTTATTAATATATTTTGGAAATTGACCACTTATCAGATGTAGCATTTGCAAATATGTTCTCCCATACAGTGAGATCCCTTTTCATTTTGTTGATGGTTTCTTTGAAGCTTTTTATTTTGATGTAGTCCCATCTATTTACTTTCTCCTTCATTTCCCTTGCCCTAGGAGATGTATAAGCAAACATATTGCTATGAGAGATGTCTGAGATTTTTTTGTTGTTGTTAATCCTCAACCGAGAATATTTTTTCCATTGATTTTTAGGAAGAGTGGAAGGGAGAAGGGGAGGAAAGGAAAGAGAGAGAGAAAAAAACATCAACATGAGACACACACATAGATTGGTTGCCTCCTGAACGCACCATGACCTGAGCAGGGATTAAACCTGCAACCCAGGCCCATGCCCTGGACCAGGAATCAACCTTTGACCTTTGGTGCTTGGACTGATGCTCTAACCACTTAGCAACACAAGCCAGGGTTAAGATTTTGCTGCCTATTGTTTCTTGTAGGATTTTTATGTTTCCATGACTTACATGTAAGTTTTTACCCATTTTGAGTTTATTCTTGTATATAGTGTAAGTTGGTGGTCTAGTTTCATTTTTTTGCATGTACCTGTCCAATTTTCCCAACACCATATTTTGAAGAGACTACCTTTTACTCCATTGTATGCTCTTGCCTCCTTTGTCAACTATTAACTGACCATAATGACATGGGTCTATTTCTGGGTTCTCTGTTCTGTTCCATTGATCTACATGCCCGTTCTTGGGCCATTACCAGGCTGTTTTGGTTACAATGGCTTTGTAGTATAATTTGATATCCAGTATTGTGATCCCACCTACTTTGTTCTTCTTTCTCAAAATTTGCTGAGGCTATCCAGGGCCTTTCTTGGTTCCATATAAATTTCTGGAGTAATTGTTCTAGATCTGTGAAATATGTCATTGATATTTTAATAGGAATTGCCTTGAATCTATAGATTGCTTTGGGTAGTATGGACATTCTAATGATGAACATGGTATATTCTTCCACTTGTTTGTATCTTCCACTATTTCTTTTTTCAATGTTCTATAGTTTTCTAGGTACAGGTCTTTTACCTCCTTGGTTAAGTTTATTCGTAGGTATCATATCTTTTGTTGTTGCAATGGTAAATGGGACTGTTTTTTAAGCTTCTGAGAGTTCATTATTGGTGTATAAAAATGCCATCAATTTATGGATGTTAATTTTGTATCCTGCTACTTGGGTGAATTCATCTGTTAAATCTCTTAGTTTTTTGGCGGTGTCTGTAGGGTTTTTTATATACAATATCATGTTATCTATGAATAATGACAGTTTCACTTCCTCCTTTCCAATTTGGATGCCTTTTATTTTTTCTTCTTGTCTGATTGTTGTGGCTAAAACTTCCAGTACTATGTTGAATAAGAGTGGTGAAAGTGGACAACCCTGTCTTTTTCCTGTTAAGGAAAACACTTTTAGTTTTTGCCCATTGAGTATGATGTTAGCTGTAGGTTTGTCATATTTGGCCTTTATTATGTTGAGGTATGAAACATTTATTTCCACTTTGCTGAGTATCAAAAATGGGTGTTGGATTTTTTTAAATAATTTTTATTTTTGTTTAAAGTATTACAGATGTCCCTGTTTCTCCCCAATGACCCTTTCCCCTCTGTTCCTTCCCCCTCCCCAGTCACTCTCCCCACCATTGTCCATGGGGTGTTGGATTTTGATTAATGTCGTTTGTATGCTCTACTTTGTTCTTTATCTTGTTTCATTTCTACTTTTTAAAATAGTCATATCTCATCTGGGGATTTTTTTTTCCACTGAAACTACACCAGAGATTATCTATACTTGCTGTCATTGGTCCTCATTTGATATACTTCAGTTAAAGTCCAAGTATATTCATTCCTCTTTAATCTATAAAACTCATGGCTAGATGCTGCTTACTCATTCTGGGAGATCTTACTCCTACAAAGACTACCAACACCCCAAAACAAGTTTATAAAATTCTGCTTTCTCTTAGTGATGACTGTTTACTCGTTTTCAATATATTTTTTGTTATAAAAAGGAAAGTTTAGTTTCTCTTCTTTGAATAAAATATTTTAAAAAGATGATCAAAAAAGAGGCCAAAAGAACATCCTAGATATACTCACACTGAATGCTCTTTAAGGGTGGAGATAATATCTTACTTTGTTCGCCTTTCAAATACTCATGACAACAAACTGCCAAAAATATAGTATTAGATTTAATGAGTAACTAAATAAATAAAAATCTCAAAAACACTTAATAAACTTTTACTATATGTATCAAGGCAATGAAAGGTGCTGAGATAAAGACAGTTCTTATCCTCGAGAGCCTCCATCTAGGAGGGAAGAAAACATGTGAACAGATTATCACACTAGAGTTAGGTATGAAGTACTCTGAGAACACAGTAGAAAATAGATTCCACAGTGAGCACTTTGATCACAAGAGATCTATCACTTTGTGATAAGTGGCTACAAAGGCTACTTTTGTGGGAGAACATTAAACTTATCCCCTTCATGATCTCAAAAAATTAAAGATATATTCCAAATACTTTTAACTTTTTATTAACTCTCAAAGGCTGAATGTACCATTTTTAGCCCATTTTCATCATTATAAGCCACTTATATAGCTTACTATTGTGATTAAAGTCTCTAGGACACCACCCAATAGCAGAAAAACACTAGCAGGAAAATTTGTTAGTTTGTTCCACTCACACTAATTCTCTCATCACCAACAAAAAAAAAAGGCCTTCTTTTAAAAGTATTAACCCACCTAATCTTCTACAGACCTAATGAACGTATCAACGTTAGATAGGTAGTAGCACTATAGCCAAGAACAGTTTATAAAAGAATGAGAAGGACCACCAGAATGTACCTATGTCTAAGAAGTTCCAGGCAGGACTGGGTTCTATGCTATTAGATAAATTTCCTGTGCTGTGTAGGCAATGAGGTATGTAGAATGGGTCATCTATTAACTCCATATCATTTAGATGTCACAGCATTTCATTGGGTCATGCTGACAATGTACTACACTATACTATAAACAAGGAAATAAATATACCATTTATTAGTATTTCCTACAAGAAAAGGAATCTTTTTAAATGTGAACAATTATGATATAATAACCTTTTAGTAATAAACCAATAATAATCAGGTAATAAACCAAGCATTTTCTTTATCCACAGGAGACAATGACAAGCTCTACTCTAAATCATGTTATTTAGTAGTAATTTGCACTGCTCTAAGTCTGAGTAAAGCAAAATAATTCATTTATTTGAAATGAAATTAGATTACCCAGGAATAAGCATCTGGACAAAGATCTAAACACAGTCTTCAAAAGTTTAAAATAAATTTTTCCTCCATAATCACGATCAACATATCTGCAGTCATTGGCATACTTACCACACTGACTGAATTTTTCTTTTAGTTTCTGCCAAGTCAAGTCAAAAGGCAGCTAGAATGAAAAAAGGTATTAGTAACAGATATACAAGGCAAAAGATAATTTTAAGTATCCTTTACATTTAGTTGCTTACATTTCTGACAAATATCTGGTTGCCTTTGGAGCCTATTCTGTCTCTCATTCCGCTTCCCATCGGACCCGATAAAAATCCTCGATCCATATCGATGCTTCTTTCCAGTATAGCTCCTATACCTGGTCCCATTCTATCAAAGCTGGAACTCATCCGATCCAGTCCCATCCCCATTCCTCCAGTCACACTGTTCATGCCACCCATTCCACCACCTGGATTTTCAGGAAGGGACGAGAGGATTTGGAAGTTTGGTATTTTGTTTTAAAAACAGAAGGAGAAGGAAGAAGAGGGAAAGAATCATTTTTGAGAAAGAAAGGGAGAGAAAAATTAATTCATTTATGTATTAGATAATATGTAAGCATAAAATTATTTTCATATGCACAATATAACAATCTTCCAAAGAACAGAATTTAATTTGGTACACATTTGGTTAGTTGAATGTTAATGGCTAATTGAATTTGTTAATTTTAGCCACTATGTAATACATTATATACATATATTTCTATAAAATTACACTTGATCATAAAACTCATCATATGTAAGTTATGTAAATTTTCTACCAATTACTTTATTCATTAATGTTACAGTATTTATCCTTTTATTTTCCAATAATACACCAAGTTTAATAATTGCTAAAACAAAAATATATGGGGCAAATTTGAATTATTACAACTCCAACACATCAACTGTTGCTCTCATCATACTCTCCTACATAGTATTCTTTTTCTAGCTTCCCTTTCACCTCAGTATCTTCTGTGTCACATATAATTTCTTTTTTTGCATCAATTCAATTTTCAATAACCACAGAAACACATAAATTTTAATGTCAATGTTATATAAAACTTGTGGAGGTAACAATAAAAAATGAAATCACACCCCTTCAGCCAGAGCTTGAGAATTGAGCTCAGAGCACATATCTACTTCATTCTTATGCACTGAGTCCCTCCCCTTTAACTATTCCAGTCCTACTCATTCTCAAAATGTATCCCTTTTTCTCATACCTAAAATGCTCACACACAGAAATTCTAAAAATTAACATCACCCTCCAATTGGCTTTCTGTGAATAACAAATACAAAATCAGGGAAACAGAGTGTAAACACTGAGGTGAAAGAGGGAAGGTAGGGAAGTTACCAATAATAGGAAAATGGCCAAGGCTGAAAAGATGACAAGAAGGAATAAAATGAGAAGCAAGGGACAACAGAAGCAGGTAGCTTCAGCTGACAGGATTTTTGCATTCACTCTTAGCACAGTTCAAATAGACTGTCTCCTATTTGTGAGATTTCAATCAATTAAAGGAAGTCAATAAAGTATGGAGAGCTCTAGAGACATGGTCCAGTAAGCAACAGAGGTAAAAAAACTCAGCCATGTGTTAAGCCTTAAGATAAGGCCTAAAATGTGGTAGTGGAAACGGAAGCGATTCAGTACTCCCCACCATTTCAACTACTCTTGATTCTACCACATGGAAGGTTTAAGAGGAGAGAAAATAAGCATCTCTTTCAACCTTATCCCTCAACTTCAAAGGAGGTCTCTTTGGAAGAGTTATATCTGGGGAAATTCACCTGTGTCTTCCAAAAGACAAAAACGGTATTCGCAGATGAAATAATCTAGTAATCAGCAGCAGTTGTAGAGAATAAACAAGGAATCTAAGTTGGTGCTAAAGCAAAAGTTGTTCTTGGCACAAGATCAGAGAAATCCCCAGACCTCTTAGGTGGAAAGGAGATTCTTGGGTTGGCTTATAGTTAACACATACTCTGGTGTTAGTTTAGAAATATCAAAGAAGTAAACTTCGGTTACTTTAGAAATTTCAGTGATCAAACAGAAAAGTTCAATAACTATCAAAGTTTCTCTAAATTATAACAAGACATTATTAACATATAAGAGCAAAGTATTACTATACTACAATAACTACTCTTGCAAAGCCTTTTGCAAGCACACAATATTACTGAATAAATTCTAGTAAAATTTAAACCTACTTATTCCAGATCCTACTGGACCCATGTTAGAAGCTCCTATTCTTCCTGCAAACCCTCCAATCATTGCACTGCCTAAACAAGGATGGAAAGATAATATACTAATTAATTTAAATAATCATATTTTAAAAGTCCCAAGGTACTATGCTCTCAGAAGATGTACAGTAACTGAAAAGTATAGTCTTCTAGAAATAGGGTTCAAATATGTAAGATACTAAAAAAGAGAGCTAGTACATTAAAATCCATAGTGTTTTTCTAGTAACAAATTGTGTGAAACATATATTTCCAAGTTTTCACACAAAAAGAGAAATAAACTTTGAAAAATATAATCTGCGAAAAGACATATTCAGCCAGCCTACCAAGTCTACCAAAGGAATCTCCAAAGCCTCGATTTATTCCAATATCACCACGTCCAAAATCTCTCTCCATGCTGCTGGTCATTGCACCACGGTATAGCTCTGAAAAAATTATGCAACAAATTAACCCTTTTTCAAGTATATCAATACACAGTAATCCATTTAGGAACATAATGAAACTAAAGAGACAGCAAAAGTCACAAATATAAAAAAGGTCAGTGATTTACCCAACTTACTACCTCACATACCACATATATCCTGTTTCACCATGCCTGTCCCTATTACCAAATGCCCACATATGCCCTCTGAAGACAGCTATAGTACCCAATTCTAAGTAGGGGGGAACATTTTAAATATAAGTTAAACTAAATGTAGCATATACATCCCACTACATACATTTACTTACCTCCCATTCGGCCAACTCCTCCAAATCCTCCCATGCTATTCATTGCTTCCAGACCACCAAACCCAATTCCTATGGAATAAAAATTAATTTTGAGATTTGACTGTCAGTCATATAGCTGAAAGGTACATTTGTAAATGTTAAGTCTCACCACTAAGCTCTTCATCTACCCTACCTTGTGCAGCTGCTTAACACATCACCTTCCATGTCCCTTAAGTATGTACTGGGCTCAGTTTCTGCTAGCAGCCTTTAGGGAGTAAGCCAGCAATAAACCATGACTTTTTCCCCCTTGGAATTCTCAACACAGTTCCTTATTTACTAAAAATGGTAATGGGTACGTATGAAAAACAAGTGTTTATACATACCACCTCCAATTCTATTCATTCCTCCAAAACCTGGACCATCCATTCCCATACCTCAAATAAAATACACAGAATGTACTTTCAGTAAATCTTATTTTCATGACTAAGAATGACATAATGCAATACAGCAAAAATAGATAACACTGGTTTAGTCACAATGGAACAGTAAGAGAAGCAGCAGGGTACAGGTGGGATGGTTTAAAGTGCTGTGCCACAGCTGTCTATCATGTCTTCAAAAAGGCTTCTTTGAATATTTATTAGACAAGAAAACAAAATTCACTGGTCACACATTCAGTTAGAAAATATCTAGGATGGTTTTTTTTTTTTTTTTTCAGGACAAAAAAATATCACTATCACTGATTTTATTTTTTTAGACAAACACAGAATTAACACTGTAGCAGAGTTACACATCAGGTCAGAAAGTTAAGCACTCCTCTACACATGACAGCTAAGGGAGCATTAAAAATTAAAGAATAAAAATAGTATGTATTTAGGAGGGTGGAAGGTTTAAGAGTAAGGAAGAAATCTCCATCTGTTTGGATCAGAATGATTACCATAACTACCCTCATAATTTAAAGGGTAGCTATAGCATCTCAAAAAAAAAAAGGAATCTGATAGCATTTATTAGTCTATCAATTAAAATAGCAGTTCTCAAAGTATGGTCTGGGGACCCTTGGGGGTCTAATAGGTCAAAACTATTTCATTCATACTAAGATATTATTTGATTGTTTTACTCTCATTCTCTCATGAGTATAATGTGGAATTTCCCAAAAACTACTATATAATGTATGATAGTGTAACAAACTAAATGCAGAAAATACAATAGCATTGCTGTCTTATATTAAGCCCAACATTAAAGAGATGTACAAAAAGGTAAAATAATGCCACTTTTGTCACTAATTCTTTTGTATTGGAAAATATAATTTATTTTCTTAAAAAAGTATATTTATGGCCCTGCCCAGTGTGGTTCAGTTAGTTGGACATCATCCCATGCACCGAGGAGTTGCTGGTTCAATTCCCGTCAGGACACATGGCCCAAGTTACAGGCTCAATCCTGGGTAGAGAGTGTGCAGGAGCCAGCTGATCAATGTTTCGCTCTAATATTGATGGTTCTCTCTCTCCCTCCTCCCTTCCTTTCTCTCTAAAAATCAATAAAAAATCTTTTTTTTAAGTATATTTATGTTAACATAATGAGTTTATAATTATTTTAAAATAAATTTATAAATATGTTTTAATTTCTAAGATAGTAAATATTGATAAATATAATCATACACACAAAAGAACTTTGGAGCCTTCAACAAATTTTAAGTTTAAAAAAGTTTAAAAACCAATCTTCAAAAATAAACTGTAAGTTAGTCCAGGTGAAGAGCCAAATACTATCTAAAAAGCTACCTACCCAACTAGATATACAAATTTAAACTCTTTATGATATGATAGCCTTTCAGCCATTCCACAAGGCACTATGTTGAACATTTGCCTTTTGCCTTTTAAAACCAATTCAAAAATCCACAGTGCTAAAAGGCTAGCTACAGCACAGTTGATCTAAGAGAACCTCCTGACATTTGCCCATCTTCTTTCATGTCCTTTGCTCCCCAAGGTTTCATTCCTTTTCCAAACTGAAGTGACATCCTAAATATCCAACTATAAAATACAGTCCTTTAAACATTATTACTAACTAGTAAATGTGAGCTTTATGACTTAGCAAATGTATCTCTTAAAAAGAAATAAGAAAGAATACTCACCACTTGGACCTAAATTTCCCATTACACCACCTATATTCAACTGACTGGCACTAATAGGCTGTCCACCTGGACCAAGTCCCATTCCAATGCCTCCAAGACCACCTGAAACACAAATATAAGAATATTACCAGCACATATATGATTTACTGACTGGCACTACAATTTTTTTAAAAAGCTATAAGCCTGTAGTACTATCTATAAATTCCACAAATTTATAAATAAGACCACTGGTTCTTGTTTTCATTGGAATGCAGCACTCTGCACACTCACTATAATATCATTTATAAATAATGAGAAGTGTTTTATAAAGGCGGTCCATCTTATATCCCAATTAAAGGCATATTGAAAAGGACTAATAAAATACTAAAAGGATTTTGAATATTGTATCACCTTCTATGTGGCATACATACCCGAAAATGGGACTTTTTTGCATTTGTAGAACCACTTAAAATCCAAGGATTACGTTAATGGTTCAAATCAAACTAAAAAGTCAACTACCATGAAAATATTGAATAAAGCAAATGTTCCATTACCTAGTTTTATCACTGACATGTTTTTTATATTTATATGGTACCTTAAATGTTTTTACATCTATTATCCATAGACGAGGAAATTTTTGAGACTTTAAGTTACTTCCACAATGTCATCTAGCTAAGTGGTTAAGACTAGATTTAAGTTTTCTGTCTCTAAATCCAATATTCTGTTTACTACTTCTCTTAAAAGAAATGAATTAAATTAATTGAAAATAGACTTTAAGAAGATAATTTGATGGCCTTAAAGACAGAACTAATTGATATTTGAGTAGGAACTGTTTTGTTCTACTTTTAAAGTTCTTACTAGTTAATGTAGCGATAAGGGGCTGAGAAAACCATATACTTTATATATGTGTGTGTGTGTGTGTGCGCATAGATAGATAGATAGATACATAGATATATGTATTTTAAAAGGTAGAGTACAGAAGCATGTTGTGTTAAATTAGAAAGATCAATGTGACCTAGTAAAGGAAATCTTTTTTCAGCTTAGTCCCTAAAAATGGTCCAACTGAAAGCAACTGTAAATCTGAACATCAGCAATGCTCATGTCTACACCTAAGCACTCATATTTTCATCTCTGATATCATTCTTCACTAAAACGAACTATGCCTCTTTGAAAGCAGGTCAATTCCATGTATTCAACTAAAAAAATCTTCATGGTTCTGGGAAATTCTGTTTTTAACCAAAAAGTCAAATAGTAGTGTCAGAGGCATAGGAAATGAGGTAGCTCCCACTTGCCAAGTTACAATTTGAGCAAATGAAAGGAGGGAAAGAGAAAAAAATATGGGTAGGTTAATAACAATTAACATAACTATAACAAATTGATTCTGTCAAAGTCTATGAATTTACATATGTCAATAAGAGTACATAAAAACATTTACATAAAACATAATATAAAGTAAGTATAAATGTAATAGAGGATTTAGTTTTTATCTAAAGTATTAATAGTTGAAAAGTAAATTGGGAGATCCTACATAAAGCCAGGATCTTGAAAGATGACACCCTGGCCCAGCAGGGTGTGGCTCAGTGGTTGAGCGTTGACCTGGGATCCAGGCGATCAGGGTTCAATTCCTGGTCAGGGCACATGCCCAGGTTGTGGGCTCGATCAATGACTCTCTCATCATTGATGTTTCTATCTCTCTCTCCCCCTCTCCTTTCCTCTCTCTGAAATCAAAAAAGATATATTTAAAAAAAAAAAAAAAAGATGACACCCTGAATGGTAAGGTGAGCTTGACGGAGACAGAAAGAACTGCCCTATAAAAGGAGAAGGGGCAATATTCAAAGACACATGTGCTAAGAATATTCTAGTTTATCCTTTAAAAATGAGTATCCATATTATGAAAGCTTGATAAATAGTAATCCACGCCACCTACACTGTAGTGAAATTGCATATCAAAGACAAAGACCTTAAAATCAGCTATATGAAGAACACAGCTTGCCCATAAAGAAAGGACAGATAGCTGATTTAGTAGCAACAATAGAAGCCAGATGACTATGGAATATTTTCAAAGTGCTAAGAGAAAATAACTATCAATCTTATAAACTATACAAATGAAACTATCTTTGAATACATCTGTAGAAAAACCAAAATTGAGAGAATTTACTAACAACAGATCCTCAATGAGAGAGCTTTTAAAATATATGCTTCAGGGGAAAAAATTAGTGCCAGGGTCTAGGGAAAGCAGAGAAATGATGAGACCAAAGGGGGGGAAAAAAAAGGTAAATAATAATAATGACAGATTTGTGGAGTTAAAAAAAGAAAAAAAAGAAATACAGGAATAAAACAGAGCAATAAGCATATAATTCAATAGAAAAATGATCAGAATTAAAGCATTCAAAGGTCACTCTATTATTGAGCAAGAGAATAATTACATTAATTTGAGACTTTATAAAGACATTAAAATTTCTAGGATAACCACTAAAAGAGAAAGAGGAGAAAAATAAGATAATAAATCAATAAATGTAAACAAAACTGTTGTATCTACATTAATATTAGACAAAAGACTAAAAAGTAGTTTCTGAAAGTAAAATCACTCTATAATGATAAAATTTGGATTCAATGGGAAAACATCTTTTCTAAACTTGGATGCACCTACTGTTAGCTTTAAAATATTTGTTATTTTATTTTTTCTATCGCTATTTATCCCCTCTATGCCCTTTTCCAACTCCACACTCTCCTCCACCATCACCACACTGTTGTCCATGTCCATTAGTTCTTTTTTTTTTTTCCTCAATCCCTCCACAATCACCCCCAACACCCTGCCACACACACACCAGAGCTGTCTGCCTGCTCTCTATCTATGAGTCTGTCCCTATTTTGCTTGGTAGTTCAGTTTGTTCATTAAATTCCACATGAGTGTAGCTTTAAAACATTTAAAGTAAAAATAAGAAAAAATAGACAAATCCACCATTTTAGTGAGAGATTTTATCATATACACTTCTAAGTAACTGACAGCACAAGCAAACAAAATTATTAGGAGCCATAAGACCATTTAAATGATTTTAAAACTTGAACATATACAAAACACTACATTCACCAAGCACACCTGGAATATTTATAAAAATGTGCCATATATTAGGCCAAAATGCAAAATTTAAATTAATTCCAAAGAACCACAATGATACAGACTATCTTCTCTGGCCACAATGTTAAGTTAGAAAATAATAAAAAATTATAACGGTAATTTAATAAAAAGTAAATAACAATAAAAACGCTCCATAACAGTCTTGTATAAAGCAGCCAGATTTATAGTCATAGCTACTTACATTAGAAAATAGAAGCTGCAAATTAGTGAAATAGTCAACTTAAGGAGTTAGGACAAAAATAAGAGGCTAAACCCAAAGAAATAGGTAGAAGAAAATAATAAAGCTTAGAGCAGAAATTAAAATACCGAAAACAAAATTTAGTTCTTTGAAAGCACTAATAAAACTGACAAAAATCTCTAAGCAAAACTGACCAAGAAAAAAAGATAAATTGCAAACCTTGAAAACTTAAAAGATAGAACTATAGATATGGCAAAATTTTAAGAGACTATTTTATGCCAACAAATCTTAAAATGGACAAAAATGGTAAAATTCTTAGAAAACCAGAAATAACCAAAAGTGACTCAAGAAGCAAGAGAAAATATGAACAATCAATAGTTAAAAATCTTCCCCAAAACAATACACCAAAGCCAGACTGTTTCACCTGTAATTTCTAGCAAACATCAAGAGAAGAGATCATTCTATTAGAAAAAGCACACACATTCTTCAAATTATTACTTCTAATAACAAAAATTAGAATAACTAAGAAACAGAAAAACATATAAAATGTGGTATTAGCAGTTAAAATGAAGGAACTAGAGCTAAATGTATCAACATAAATGAATATCAAAAAAACAATGTTGAACTAAAAACAGCAAGTTGCAGAATAATATATATAGTATGATGTCACACACACCAAATTTTAAATCCAGCAAAACAATTCCATATAACGTTTGTGGATTTATAAATGTGTAGTCAAATTATTAAAACCGAAAAGACAAACACTGTATTCATAATAAGTTGTTTCCTCAAGGTAAGATATCTGGTGAGAGGTGGGCAGGGGAGTAGAAGAATCTCAACTTTATCTGTAAAGTTTTATTTTAAAGAAAAATCACCTAAAACAAATATGGACTATGATGGATACATGAGTAATTTTAGGTTTGTCTGTATATCTAAGGTATTTTATTAAGAAGTTTAACAATAACCAGAGAAGGTACAGTAAAACAGTAAGAACAAGAGCTAGTATTTATTGAGTGGTTACATTATTCGAAAACTGTGCTAAGTGCTTTATATATATTAACTCACGCAATACTCATCCAATTTCATGAAATAGGTTACTATTATCACTCTCATTTTACAGATGGGGTACTGAGACACAGATGTTAAGTACGTTACATTGTGATTTTATAATCCTTTGGAAAAACATTTTGATAATATTGATCAATGAGCATACCTTGAAAAACCTATAAATCTACTTCAGGATACCTATCTTAAGGCTGTAACTAAAACATACCAAAGATCTGTATACAAAAGGATATGAATTACTTTGTTGTTGATTAAAGGAAAAAAAAATTAGACACCTAAATATACATAACAGTATGGAGCATTCATATAATAGACTATTATACATTCAATAAAAATATTTGGAAATAATTTTCAACATGGAATAATACTTACACTCTATTTTAAACAAAAAAAATACAAAATTATTGTGTGGTAATTCTCAACTATGTAAGAAATATACATAGAAGGAGAGACTGGAAAAAAATACAAAAAATGTTATAATGGAGATAGCTTATGGGAGGTAAAATTACAAAGAGTTTTCTCCCCTCATGTATGTAAGCTAATCAAATTTTTTAGTACATATTACTTTTATAATGAGGAAAAACTACCAAAGAGAGAAAAAAATGGCACATATTTATCGTCTGTCTTCCTAATCTATCATGCCAAACTATCTGCATAACTCCGAACTTTGGGCAACTTGGGATATAGGCACAAAAACAAGGAGTTCTGCTTAGCAAATAATAAAACTGAAAAACGAGTTTGTATTTTTCTGATGGCTTTTACTTACGTGGTAATTGTGGTGTTTTACTGTCATGTGAACGGTAGTCTTCATGAGGGACAGACTTGTCATCCTAATTACAAAAAAGTTTATTATAAGGTTAATATATAACTAAAAAGATCTGCAATGTAGAGAGCAGATAAGAGAAGAGATGAAGTGATATATAGGAACTCACCATTTTCACATGCATAGGTCTATCAAACAAAAACTGCCCATTGAACATAGCTGTTGGTTCAGTCAAGGAAAGCCAGTTAAGACAACTATAAAATTATACTTGAATACAAACACATTTTAATAATCCAAGTCAGACTATCTAGTATTTTAATCAACATCTTTAATATTTTACTCATTTGTATTGTGTCTTCTATATATTCAAAAACTTCAATTCTTTGCTTTATAGGTTTGATTTTATATATAAAATGTATTCTTTTAATTCAACCATTGAGAAAAAAATTAACACTGCTTCATTTAAAGCAATTGTATTAATTTACAATGGATTACATAACTGTCAAGAGCATGTATGCATATAATTAATTGTGGCGGGAAGAGAAAGTAGAAAAAGGTTCATACTAGGCCTGTACAATATGGCTAATTCAAGTTTTAAGAGTGACTTTAGTACTTGGACATAGAAAAGGTTTTACGTACTGGAGACTAAAGTCTAACACACATTTCTAAGCCAGGCAACCTTAAATTCCAGGACTCCCACAAAGTGGTTGGTATTAAGCTTCTTCAACCTTATTAAATAGTCCTAAAGTGTAAATCAGGATACAAATTGCTTGAACTGCTTCAATTGCTTGTTCAAAAGTGACTGTGCCCATTCCTCTGCTCTTGCCATCTTTGTCTTCTTTAATATCTGCCCGCTTTACAGTTCCAGCTATGCTGAACACTTCCTTTAGCTTCTTCCAACCAACTTTGAAGTCAAGCTTAACATAAAATTATATAAAGTTACGTACCTAATAAACCCCTCCCCATTTATAAATAATACAAACAAATCTTTTCTAAACTCTCAAACTATAAAGAACTATAATTCTTGTTAAACAGTATATCAATAATATTCAAATACAAAGATCTTAAGTTGTTTAAAATTAGGTAAGCTACATCTATGTTGTTCCTTATCCTTAATTTTTTTAAATTCCCAAAACAGTCTCTCACCTACTCAATCCTGTTTTGTATATTTGAAACTTGCACATCTATTTTTACTGAGAGAAATTCAGATTTTGGAAAGTATTGTTGATATCACTGACTTTCAAAAGCTTAAAACAAACAAATGACAAACCAACTACAACATGCACATTCACAAATATCAAATTTTAAAGCTAAAGAAATCTACTTACCAATATGAACAAAAGTCACATACAATAAAAGTAAATAATGTCAAGAACTGCTAAGTGTTTATAAATTCCACAGTTCTCTTTTTTCAAAATTCTAAATACTCGTATATACACTCTAACCTTATATATATAATTAAATTAGGTTTCAGTTTACAATAATTTATGTCTGGCTTACTTTAGTTAAAAATAAAATGTTCTATAAACCTATAACCCATTCATCTAATTAAATAATCTCATAATTAGAACTACATATCTGAATGACAAAATTTTAGACTAAAGCTTAAACTTACATTAGCAACAAAAATTGTGGAACCAAGTCTACCAGCCTGCAAATTACTGATAACCTCAGGAGGAATGTTTGGATTATTCAGAATGGAAGGTGGTAAATTCATCAACCCCGATCCCATATCGGGTACATGTCCTCCTGGAAATGATCCTCCTGTTCGTTGCAATGCCCTACGAGCATTTTCTCCATCAGGATCCTATAACACACATTGAATGTTAAATGCCACTAGATACATCAGAAAGTCTATATAATTAAAACAGCAACTTCAAATTCTACAGTAGCTATCCCATCTGGGTTAAATATTGGCCCTCTTAAAGAGTGAGCTTTTCTCTCATCCAGAAAATTCAGTCCCATAAAAACCTGTGGACAGATAAAAGATTACAGTCTCCAGGGATGTAAATTAAATACCTCTTTCCAATCACTAAAGTCACTTAAGAACTTGAAATAGTTTAATTTTGCCCTTGTACTATTTTAAAAGTATATACACATACACATAAATACACATAACTCAAACAGGAACAAAATACTTACTGCAACTCTTTTCTTTCCCAAATGCACTAATAATGAATTGTCATTGCTGGATGACCAACGCAATGCCACACTGAATTACCCAGGAATATTGGGGTAGAGGGGAACTACAATAATGTGCAAGTTTCATTCCTGAAGAAGCAAAATATAATTATCCACCTTCTAACTGCTTTCCCTCCTCATGATTATGATCTAAGATCGGGTGCACAGAGGGAATAAAGGCTAAATGTCCAAATGAAGAATGATAGTAAACATTGCTTTTTTTTTGGCTCATTAACTTTATAAGAGAAATATTCTACCTTTAAACCAATGAAAAGCAAGTTCAAATATACTTCTCACTCATCTCACTAGGTGAAATGCAAAAAATAAAAAAAATTTTAAAACCACACAAACACAGTAATAGGCTATCATCTGCAATACCAAATGATTATGATATATGTAAGCATCAACTCTACTCTGCTGGCCTGTCTGGAAATACCAATAAAAAGAAAGTTTGGTGACTTTAATACATTCTCTAGATACTAAATTCTCTAGAAAGGCTGGGAGAATAGAAGGTAAAAAAGTGAATGCACAAATAAAGGTATTTTGGCTTCCAATATATTTCTTCACCATGAAGAATAAAAAGAAATACGGAAGTAAAGAAATAAATGATTTTAAAGAATGCTATGAAACAATAAATGCTTTAGGTCTAAGGTTTCAAAATCTTGTACAAATACAAAAGTCAGGATTGTGGTTACCTATGGAGAAGAACACAATAGAATAGATGCTCATGAACTATTAAGATAGGTTGTTTGCTCTTAATATTAATAAAGCATATTACTATGTCTTGATTTGTCTTCTATGTACATGACATATACAAATATATATACATATATATAAAGCATATGTACAGCCCAGCAGTGTGGTTGGTGGTTGAGCATTGACCTATGAACCAGGAGGTCAAGGTTTGATTCCCGGTCAGGGCACATGCTCAGGATGCCAGCTCAATACCCAGTAGGGGGGGGTGCAAGAGGAAGCTGATCAGTGACTCTCATTACTGATATTTCTATCTCTCCCTCTCCCTTCCTCCCTCTGAAATCAATAAAGCCATATTTTTAAAAAAACATATATACAATACAATTTATATAACACAAATTACCTACTATATAAATAGTTTTTATTCCTCTTTTTACCTTGGATGTCAGCCTGCCAGTCATTGCCTGCTAATGCTAGTAGAGAGCCTATAATAAGTTTACAACTGTTACTAAACCCCATTGAATTACATGAAAAGTGAAATTCTAATACCTGTAAAGGAACATTGGAAATAAATTTTTCCTTAGACTCTCACTAGTAGTTCTCAGCACTGACCTCAGCACTGACCCATCTGTAAATCCGATATTCCCAGAAAAGGGGCCTTTAGTGATATTAATCCAAAAAAGGTAACTGAATAAAGAACATCTCACCATTTAGCTAGGCCAACCTATACAATTTTTTCCTCTTAAAAGGGTTAAAAATGGAAGTATCCTATATTGGCATGGATCACATAACTCTATTCTAGGGTCTCTGAAATACTGAGTATCCACAATGTGCTAAAACTTAAAAGAACACAAAAGACATGGACCTAGCCTTTAGCATCCAATACACTTTTCTTCCAATTAAAAATAAAAACACTGGGAATCTGTAATATTTGTCTTTTGAAGAATAAGAAACATCATAAAACAGTAAATCATAATCCTCAAAATAATAATTTCCCAGAAGAATGGTTTTCTACAAATGTCACCCTTATGGGAAATTATTTAGAATATCAACACATTTCTGGAACACTGGTCCTGGCCTACACATAAAAACCACTAAATAAATGGGCTGGCACAGACCATAACAGTCTAAACTTTCTCTACCAATTCTCCACTTCCCAGTCAGAAGAAAAAAAAAAGAAGAAACCCCAGGCTCAAACAGGGTTAGAAAGGAAGTGAGAAACTAATTCAAATAGAGAGGTTCGAGGTACTTTTATATTGTGTATGTTAGTAGCCTGGCCTTTCATTTTAAGCTATAGCAGTCTCTGCTTATCCATGGTTTCACTCTCCTTGGCTTCAGTTACCCATGGGCAACAACCACCTGAAAATATTAAATGAAAAATTCCAGAAATAAACAATTCATGAGTTTTAAATTGTGTGCTGTCCTGAGTATTATTATGAAATCTTGTGCTGTCTCACACCATCCAGCCTGGGACATGAATCAGACCTTTGTCCAGTCTCATTCACACTGTATACCACTACCCACCCTTTAGTCACTTAGAAGCCACCTCGGTTATAAATCAACTATCATGGTATCACAGTACTTGTGTTCAAGTGACCTTATTTTACTTAATAATGGCCCCAAAGTGCAAGAGTAATGATGATGGCAATTCGAATATGCCAAAGGGAAGCTGTACAGAGCTTCCTTTAAGTGAAAAGGTAATATGTATAGAAAAAAACAGAATATACTCAGGGTTCGGGCATCCACTGGGGGTCTTGGAATGCAGCCATTGCAGATAAAGGGAAAATACTGCATTATCACCTCATACTAAGGAACAAGAGAACAATGACTAGTAACATCTACACCTTGGACAGGAATAACGACAATCATAATTATTATTACAGCTAACATTTATTATTATATAGTTACAATATTTTGAGCAATATGCTAAGTGCTTTATATAATACCACAATTATAACAAATAGCTAACATTTATTAAATGTTTTATATATATTAACTCTTTGACTCCTTATAACACTATTAATAGATTCTAGTATTATTCCCATTTTAGAAATAAGAAAACAAAGAAATAGAGAGCTTAAGTAGTTTGCCCTGGGTCACACAGGTTCTCTTATGCCACAGACTAAGTTCTTTACCATGTATCTAATTTATCCTTATAAACACCCTATTAGGTAAGTATTATCTGCAGTACTATTCAATTACTAAGGTTTAGAGAATAAGTAACATGTCTACTCACACAGCTAGAAGTGACAGAGCTGGGACTCAAATCACTACTATACTAAGTTAAACTGTGACCGATAGTACAGCTCTATTACCAATGATTAACATCTGTGCTAATGGAGACTCTTCAGGGTTCCCAAGTTGTATCCTCTATCTTTTTTAATACAGGCTTCAGCAAGGATATATACATAACTGGTCTGTGATCAAACTATTCAGATAAGATTAACAATATGAACTAAAGGAAGAGAGGAAAATGATTGCTATTCAAGCTAATTATTTCTAAGGTCAATTTATACCAAACTATAAATAGTTAGGGTTTTTTTTATGTATCTTCCAATCATTCTTTTATCAACGTATTTATATTGCAACAATTCCATACAAAGGGAACATCTCCATTTTAGGGGTTTACAAGTTCCAGTTATAAATTTCGCTAATAGATGTAACTTTTTAAAAATTTTAATCTGGTATAATTTCAGGTTAATGTTATTAAAAGTATCAATTTTATTCAAATCCATAAGGTATTTGCATTATTAAGCAAGCTTTGATAATCTACATTTCTCAAATTAAACACAATCTAAAAACTGAAAATAAATATACCAAATAAAGTCAACACCTAAAGTGTGTCATCTTTAATTTGTTTTAAAAAGAATAGTTTATTGATTTTTAGAGACAGGAAGGGAGAGGGAGAAAAACATCAATGTGAGAGCGTAACATCAATTGGCTGCCTCCTGCACAACCCCTACCAGGGACCCAGCCTACAACCCAGGCACATGCCCTTGACTGGGAATCGAACTGGCAACCTCCTGGTGCACAGGACGATGTCCAACCAACCCGTACTGGCCAGGGCTTGGGTCCTGAAATTTCTTTAAATCATGTTCCTCTGCTTATAATAATTTGGAGCAAATCAAATATTAGGACAACTGCTTAAGGGCAAATAGAAAATCATGTACAAGCAAAATTGTCATCAATAGATAATACTTTAATAAGAATCTATGCTAAAAAAAATGTTGTAGTCAGACAAATGCATTACCAATGATAAAAATACAAAGAAAACATGTCCTTATATTCAAATGTTTACATTATTCCAAATATAAGCAATCTTACCTCTTTAATATTCAGGGGTCTTCCACTAAGATCATATTTGTTCATGGTTTCTAGTGCTTTCTTTACAAATTCTTCATCTTTAAATTCAACCACACTTAATTGAGAGAAAAATTGGGAGGAAATTTTAATGTACTAAGGTTATTTTTTACAATCAGAAGTTTAAATTTGACTTAAGATACTTAAAAAAAATTCTTACCCACAACCCTATATCCAGGTAGATTTGTCAATATATGCAAAAGAAAAAAAGTTTTATCAGTAGACGAAGTTAATAGTAGAGTCTAACATTTAAGTCATTAAAATCAATTGTCATTTTTTTTTCTTTTACACCTCCAGAACATAAAAGGCAAGTGACCACAAATTTTTTGTCAGTTTTAAATATCTTTTTAAGATAGTAGGATCTAGCATAAGCTTGAAGCACATTTTAGATGATTCTTCTTTAAGTTTAAACCAATGTAATATCATTGCACAAATTCAATGAAAACTAATTCAAAGAAATAATTGAAGACTCCAATATCCCTATCCTTACACAGTTATAAATATTTTCAGGAGCTACACTGTGCATAAATGGTTTTTAATGTATATTTTTCAATTTTATTAAAATCAAAATAGGAAATATTAATCTCACTTTTAACAAAGTTCTCAAACTGGCTGCATACAATTTAACAGCAGCCAGTTTCAAGAATGTAAAAAAAGTCACCTATGTTAAAGAAACAAATTTGTAGTATCATTTTAAAAATAATTCCTTGTCATTGTTACTATTCGAAGTGTCACTAGATGCAATGACAAACTTTTTATTTTTCATGCACCCAACTGTTTTTTTGCTAATAAAATTAAACACTGTTAAGAGCTTTCCATTCTTTCTTCAGCATATTCTTTCTTGTTTGTTGCCAAAAATCAAAATTGACTATCGCCCAATCCCTTCTAGGTCAATTTAATCATCAGTGTCATTCATACCAATTGATCAGGGCACTGCCTCTTATGTAGTCCTGTAGGCTACCAAATTAAGTTTTTTTCAGTATAAATTCCAAACAAACATTCTGAAGTAACACCTTTAAATTACAGGCCTCTCATAGAACTCTTAAGGAATATTATCAATTCAGTGACTTTTAAAATAACCTTGAAGACATCAAAACACAACAAAAAAAAAATCCTACATTAAAATCTATAGTCTAAGAAGAAGCATTACCTTAGAGCATTAAAAAAGTGAATGCTCTTTTTGAGCATTTACAAAACCCATCCCTTCCAGGCAGCTAGCTTGATTTGTATAAGTGTCAGACTTGCTAATATAAAGCCTCAAATCTTGCATAATAAAGTAAAACAAAATGAAACTTAAGTTTCCAAAAACTGGTACAAGTATTATACAAAAAGTAAACTGCTGAGGAACTTTTAAACCTCAAGCAGATTACTGCCCACAGCACTTACCCTTGATTTTCCTTCCGCATCCTTAAAGAGCTCCACGTATGTAACCTCACCAACTACATAAGACATACAAAAGGAAGATACCAAGAAACAATACATTTAAACACCAATATCTTGCTTTACTGCACACCTGTGCACAACTCTACAGAAAAGCACCTATTATTCACCAACAATCAAAACCAGACCAGCATACCTCCTGTCAATGGCTATGTAAATTTAACTAATTTTCAGAAATGTACATCATCCACATTCTCTAAAAAAGCTAACAACCATATTAACCTAATTCATACTACAGATCATATTTTGGCCAGCATGATATAGTTGGTGAACAAATGCACATATACATACAAATGGTCCCTTAGCCTATCATATTAAAAACATCAACATTAGCACTTTTCAAATAACTTTAGTCGCCTACACACAACAGCTGTTTTAAGGTGACTTCCTACCTGAATGTCTTCAATCATGTTTTGCCATCAAACTAAATTTACAAGTCATGCTTCACAGCAAGCCACACACTTTCTAAATAAAGTCAATGAATAAAACCAATCAAATAGTTGTCACCTTACAACAGATACACCAATGCAATTTTTTTTTAATTTATTAGAGGAGATCAGCCTCAAAGCCAAGTACATAGTTTGCAGGACTGTTGAAACTCAATTTTTCAAGAGATAACAAAACTAACTTTTACAAGATCAAGTATTAAAATTATTTTTCCCCAAAACCAACCATGTATATAAAATGAAGGTTTTCAGGTTATTCTGAAAACAAAACTGAAACAGCAGTAACGCAATTTTAATATAGAACTGCAGAGACAGCATCATCGCATTCATGACAATGCAAACAAAATGAATTCCACAGCCAGATTCCAGACTCCACCAAGATAATAACAAAACAGCTTTTGGAAAAAAAAATAATCAGACCTTATTATTCATACTTTAACAGCTAAATGTATTGCTTAACTAATGCAATAGTCCTTTAAAATCTATAAAAACTTCAACTAAACAAAGCAATCACTTTAACAAAATTCTTGGTGGCATGCATATGCTGGCTCACTACTATCCCACTGAAATAACAAAAAGAAAAGAAAAAAAACTTTATTTATCCATACTACCTTGTAATGAAATTGTGTCAAGTGAAAGAAGAGGGAATGATTAATTCACGTGTTAAGAAATGAACAAAAATCGGTTTTTTGAGTCTGTTTGGCTCATAGGTATAAAAAAAGTTCACTTAGTCCCCTCCCCCTTCTATATGAAGATTACCCAACAGTGGGTTTATCAAAGATGTTTACCTTTCTCTCTCATTAGATCTTTAATAGCTTGCCATTTCATGTCATATGGGATGTTGCTAATGAAAACTCTATTACGATTTGGACCCTTCTTTTCTCCAGTGCCCGAATTCTTGTCTTTTGAATAAGGATGAAATCTATGAGTCTTCTTATTTCCTGTAGATTTTTCCTTTAATTCAGATTTCTCTTCTTTCACTGATTCATCATTCTCCCTATGAATTAAAAACAAGAAAATGGAAGTCTATATTAAATATTCAATATTTATCACTTCACTTCACAAAACTCTCCACTAAGTTAGATCTCAGCAAAGCAGATGAAGAGTCAGGCTGCTGGCAATGAAATTACCCAATGCCATTTCAAAGCAAGGATTTGGGCATGTTACCAAAATTCTCACTTCACAATCCTTTTTTTCTATATTAAATAGCTGCAGCATCCAAACAATCACCCAGTTTTTCCCTTCATAATGCATAATAAACGTAATTAGAACTTAAGAGAGGGAAATGTGTAATTTTATTCCTACAGTATGTAAAATTGCCACTTTTATGGAGAATTAACTTTCTGGGCCTTATTCAGAACTCTAAAAAATTAATTTACAAAATGATACCCTGAAAAATTTCATCTCTTAAAGGTTAACAGTTTCTTCCCAGAACTCTTCTCCCTTGTTGCTTAAAAACGTAGTTAAAATACGTAGTTATATCTACGTATCTGTACATGCACACACTACCATATGACTCAATTTTTTTCTATTTTCAGTTTTGATCAACATAGAAAGCTGATAAGGTATACTAATATTTTCATGCTCAACATTTTCTGTTTTAACCTATAAACTAGGACAGGGTACGGTAAGAGAATCAAGTCATTTTTATTAGTATTATCAATAATGGGGGGGTGGGGTGGAGGAGGAAGCAGCACTTAAACACACCACCAACTAGAAGTTTATAAATCTACTTTTTAATGAGGCCTTAACCGAAAAATTTTTGAATTTATAAAACTGTAACGACAATTCAACTATGTGATGCTATCCATCAACCATCTGTAGGATACAAGTATATACTTAAAGTAAATCCTGTTGATTAAAAATTTAAATATGTATTTTAAAAATGCAATTTACTTTTCAAAAGAAATCTTTTTTTTTTTTACAGAACAATAGATTTATTTTAAATCACTAATTACACTAGTGAATCTAAAACTAACTAAAACTTTTATTTTAAAACAATTGTTTATAAATATACATTAATAAAAATCTCTGGGAGTGACACCCAGGAATCTAAATTTTTTACAGCTTCCTGGATTATTCTGATAACCAATCAGGCTTTATAATCCAGGCTCTAAATTATCTTCTAAACCAAGCAACTGTGAGAATATATATACATTGCTGTGCTCCACACACACATCTTATTCTAGTCACTTGTTCCATGATATATAGAACTTTTCATACACCACTTTTCTGAGCAGGTTAACAACACAGTCATACATATAATTTGTAAAACTCTACAAAAAGAAAAACTATCTGTGTTGGGATCAGCAGCATCTAGCATGGTGACTGCACATAACATGCGCTCGATAAATATTAATTCTTGAGTGAGCAAACAGTCAGATGGTGCTACTGTCTTCCAGGAAAACTGCTAAAATTAAGAGATATTAGGGCCAAACTTGCTTTGCCACTTTTTCAGACCCTGACAGGGACACCTTCACTGTCAAACACCTTCCCTTTTCAGAAATGGGAAATCCTAGAAGGGATCATCTCACCTGTCCAACTCTAGCAAGTACTACTTGTCTGTACAGAGTTGCACTACTGAAAATGGCAACTGCTAATTTACAATGCATAATTAAGACTACCTATGGAAGTTTAGAGCTAGAGGTATGGTTTGATTAAGAAACTAAGCTATAACTGCTCAATTTCTGAACTCTTTATATGTCTTAAATACATTATGAAAGACACAGTAAAAATATATGTTAAAACTCTTAGAAAAACAATGCTACATAATATTAAAATATTGGTACTATATTCAGAATTCCATTTAATAATTCCCAAACTATTCATTTAAGCAAACCTTCCTCTTAACATACTTGAAATACTGCCTATGACTATTCAGTTTTTAAAAATTTTTATTAAATTTATTGGGGGTGACATTGGTTAATAAAATGATATAGATTTCAAGTGTACAATTCTATATCATCTGTATATTGTATTATGTGTTCACCACCCAAAGTAAGTATCTTTCAGTCACCATTTATCGACCCCTTTACCCTCTTCTATCTCCCCCCACCCCAGGAATCACTATACTGTTGTACATGTTGACTATTTTAAGTTACAAAAATGTTATTTACGCTTAAGGCTGAATTATGCCCACCCAAATTATAACATAAATTCCTGAAAAGTCAATATGGGACATCAAATAAGAAAACATAGTTTTAATATGATTTTAAGAACATAAAGCTACAGTATGAGATCCAAAATTAAGTCCAGTTCCATTCTTTATTCCTAACATGATAAAAAAAGTACTACTCTACTTCAACCACTTCACCCTACTCCAATGCTTTAAACTTTTATGCTAGTATCCTAATGTAACTAACAATCTCCACATACTCCAAGGTACTACTTAATCACACTTGAATAATGAGGAGTTATAACAATACTCTTTTTCCTCTTACTCACTTAAGAAAAGGAGAGCTAGTATACCATTCAGCGCAAAGCAAAAGACTACACTAGGAAAACATCTTTAATTTCTTGTCAAAAGATGTGAACATACCCACTAAATCTTCTGTATATGAGTTTCATGACCATAAAAGTTTACTTCTACACTTCTTAAACAAATACTTATTGGGCCTTTTTAAGTATAAGGCCTCAGGGATAAAAGATGAATAAGACATAGTGGTCTCCATCTTCAATGACTATCGATTAACCTCAGCAAAAGTCATTTCAATCTTGATAACAAGAGACATTGTGTTCACTTCAGACCAATATATATTTTAAGGCAATACTTGGCAATTTTTATCATCTCTATGAATTCTTATTATTAAAAACATGGAAATCAACTGAAGTTTATGCGTTGGGTTAACTACTCCACCCGTTGGTTCACAGGGTCAAAAAAGGTTCTTAGGTTGATACAGGTAAATGTACCTAGTTATTCAGTGAGAGGGACCCATGCTGGATTATGTTTTTATGTAATAGGCAGTTCAAGAAACCCCTGAAAGTAAACTTGCCTCTTCACTCAACTTCTTGGAAAAGAGGATAGGAGAGAGATGAACTATAAGCAGTATGAAAAGGATCTGTATCTGTATTTAATAGTCACATTTCTTAATTTCTTCACCTTGTATTTTCTTTTTCCTCAATTAGAAGTTAAAGAGATTCTTTTTCCGCCTCTCTCCTCTCCTGTCTAAGTAAACCACAAAGAGACTTTAAAAGGGATTAGAGACTTTTAGATCTGATGGAGGTTTAGATAGCAGCTTTACCTGTACTGACACTACTACACTGTTTATATCCAAGTTCAGTAGGGTTTCTCTCTGTAATCCAAGGCTGTACTTTCTGTTCAGGAGAAAAGGGTGGCAGGCCCATGTTGAGATATTTTTAAAAAGCACATTTTAAATGTATCATTTCACTGGTTTTCATTCATATTTATGATGCCCAATCCCTGAAAGCGCACAATTTGGTAGGCATGGTAGAAAGTGCTTCAGTCACTTTTGGTCCCTGGGCTGCGGAGGTGCACCGCATTCCACCTAGGAACACACTCCCTGTACCTTTACCTCCATTCTGCCTAAAGATAGCGCCTATCCTGTCCACACCCAACTGAGAGCAGGAGTGCCACAACTAACCTCATCTGCAATCAACCCTTAGACAGGCTGGGCCAGATTTACTACACTTTCAAACATTTTTACACAAAAGAAAAGCAAGACCATTTCCCTGGTCTATTGTAGTGGGAGCACATGTCCACTGCTTTCCACTCTTGAGGAATAACTGAGAGAAGGAAAACGATGTTTTCACTAAATTAACAACCTCCTTCCCACTTCAGGTTTAAAGAGCTGGGCATATGCAAATAAAGCCCGCCTTCGCACACACCCCCATAACAACAACAAAGGGGAGCGTAACATTTCCTTACACTAACTAGAAATTAGTATGAATTCGCGTCAACTCAATTCTTCATAGGTCCTAATGACAGGTGCAATCTTAAAAGTAGTGGATTTCCCTCAATTAAAAAAAAAATCCTACTATGCCACCATACCAGAATTAAGAACCTACCATCACACACTGTTTAAAAAAAAAAAAAAAAAAAAAATACCTGCACGGTAGACAAACATTTGGGGGCCGGGAAGGGCGAGCAAGGCTTACATTTCCCTTTTCAAAAGCACCTCTTCCAATTCAAGGGTAGCACAATGGATTCAGCCTCACAGCCCGTTAGTAAACTTCCCCTCCGTACCTATCTGTTCACAAGTGCGTGTTTACTTTGGAAAACAGCAGAACCACTGGAGGTCTGCCGCGCAGCGCGAGGCGGGGAGGCGCGCGGACATTCCTCGGAAACGCGTCCCGCCTCCGCGGCGAGGAGGAAATGTCCGATGATGTCATCCCTAGATACTCCCTAGTGATGAACACTAACTACTGGCCTTTAAACGCGGGACCATTTCCCAGCAAACCGCGCCGGCCGCCGGGCTTTGCTGGCCGGCTCTCCGGCGGCAGCCGGGGCGGCGGGGCTGAGCCG